ATGGAAAGTCTGCCCAGTGACTTCCATTTAAACTGCTTTGGCCCACAGTGGGACATGTGACCACTCCTAGCTACAAGGAAGGCTGGAAAATGTAAACTGCATTATCATGTTGAATAAAATCAGGATTTTTCCAGGTAAAATACAGGTGGCCCAGTTAAGTTTAACTTTCAGACAAGTAAGTGTGTTGGAACATACTTACAGTAAAAAAAATTACACATTGTTCATCTAAAGTTCAAATTCAACTGGGAATTTTGGTGTCGTGTTTTTTTCTAAATCTGACAATATTATCCATGAGGGATCAAGTAACCATAACCCTGACTTTTATAGTCATCACTTCTTTGTTTTTTAAAACATCTTTATAATCCAATGTGTATCCCTAAACACTGTAGTTTAGTCTTGCCATTAAAAATACTGTATTTTAAGTCTATTTTAATCTAAAGCTTCCTCTTCCATCCCTCCCAATTCCTTAAAACTATATAATAAAACAAGATGGCTTCAAAAGAATGAAGTCCAGGGACTACTTGTCCTACCAACATCAAGTCTTATTTTTAAAATATAGAAATTAAAATAGTGTGGGATTGGTGTTAGGATAGGAGAAGAACAGAAAGTACAGAAATATACCATAAATATGCAGCTTGTATCACTAGGATGAGAATGAGTTCATTCTCATATATCATGAATGGTGCTTGGACAACAGGATGTTATGGTAAATTGATTATAAAAAAGGCCAGCAATTGCTCCCCTCTCTGTATCTATGTTCCCTTATCACGTAACTTGAATGCCCAGCCATATAACTTGCTTTGGCCTGATGAGATGTTAGCAAACACTGCACACAGAGGCTTGCGCAATGAGGATTATTCCCTTTCGCAACCTGCTGCCATCACCTGCTGAGTGGTGAGAGCTATGTGGCTCACTGGCAATACGTACTGCTACCCCTGTGGACAACCAGCTAACCTCTAGGGCCTGAGTGACCCAGCTCACTGGCAACTGACCATAGACACATGAGTGAGTCCGTTGAGTCCAGCCTCATTAGGAATATAGGTTAAATAAATGGTGGTTGTGTTAAGCCACTAAGTTTTCGGGTGGTTAATTACATAGCAAATCTAATTGACACATGTTACATGGATTCCTATCTCTCAACATACAAAAATCAATTCCAGGTAGAGACTTAAATATAAAAAATAAAACTTTACACTTTTTGATATAGAAAAAAATCTTCATAACCTCAGGTTAGAAAAAGTTTTCTTTAGCAAGTTACCACACACACACACACACACAAAAACCATGTAAGGAAAAAGAATTGTCAAATCTAACTACAAAAAACCCTTTATGCCTCAAAAATAACTATTAACAAAGTTAAAAGATAAATAATTAGCATTCAGAATACATAAAGGACATCTACAAATCAAAAAGCAAAAGATACCCCAATAAGGAAATGGGCAACAGATGTAAACAGGTAATTCATGGAAAAAGAAACCTGCATGGCCAATATATACATATACATATGCAAATATAACTTAACCTCATTAGTAATCAGTGAAATGGAACTGAGAAGCCATTTCACATCTAAAAATTTTTAAAGCTCCACAACTGAGACTATGGAGAAAGGGTAGCCCTCATACACAGATGTTGGGAGTATAAATTGGTACAATACTTTGGAGACCAATTTGGCAACTTTAGCAAATGATGACCTCCACCTCATCATCACATCACATCATCACATATATGTAGAAACTCTCACCCATGTGTACAAGAAGGAAGCATGCAAGAATTTCAGAGCACACTGTTTTTTACACCAAAAAACTAAAAATGACCCAAATATCCATCACCTAAAGAATGAATATTGTGGGAATTATAAACACCAAATTCAAGATAGTGGTTACCTCTGCAGGACAGGAAAGGAGGCGTAATGGGGAAAGGACACACAGGGGGCTTCACTGTATTTGTGATGTATTTCTTAAGCTAGGGGCTGTGTACATGGGTGTATATTAATCTCTGACTCTACTCATGTGTTTGAAAGATGTCATAAATGTTCAATGTATTTTTTTAAAGTGAAAACAATAAATCAAAGCTAAGCTCCAAAGAAGAACTCAAAGATTATGATGCAAAAAGAACTTTAAGGGCTTAAGTTCATCATGAAGATGTCCCTCACCTGGGGTTACACCCAGTTCAACCCCAAACCCTGGGAATCACTCAGAGATTCTTCCCTACAGATAAGTCTTTGTTTTGCTGACACAGAGAATAGATTAAAATCAAAACAAAGCAATAAGGTACAAATTGAAAAGCAAGGGGCTGTAATGAATGCTAATGGCAGAAGGAACAAATGAAAACAGAAAATAGTTCAATACTAGTACCATATTTCAGGGTGACAGCTGCCCCTCTACCTTGTGGGCCACTCTGAGTGTGGAGTTCCATCAAACTGAAAAATACTGTATTGTGATTTTTTTTTTTGAGGCAGAGACTCGCTCTGTTGCCCAGGCTGGAGTTCAATGGCACGATCTCGGCTCACTGCAACCTCTGACTCCCAGGTTCAAGCGATTCTCCTGCCTCAGCCTCCCAAGCAGCTGGGACTACAGGCATGCACCACCACGCCCAACTAATTTTTGTGTTTTTAGTAGAGACGAGGTTTCACCACGTTGGCCAGAATGGTTTCGGTTTCCAGACCTTGTGGTCCACCCACCGTGGCCTCCCAAAGTGCTGGGATTACAGTTGTGAGCCACTGCGCCCAGCCTATATGATGATTTCTAAGCCATTTGAGATAAATCTCTTACATCTTTATAGCACAACATACAGTTGTCACTATTTCCTGGTACATTTTACACAAGTAAACATCCTTGTTAGTGATGTAATGACTACTGCTGTTAAACTATCTCAAATTTTCTTTAAAACAAAAACAAAAACAAAAAACCCATAATGATGAACACGAAGCTAAAACAAGGGAACAATATTCCTTCTGTATTCTTCCCACAACACTCCCTGCTCTAGCCCCAGGTCTCCCTGGCATTAAAATGCAAAGTAAAAGCACAGGGCTTGCCAGCCCAGGCCAAAGGCAGGAATCCAAACTTTCTCTAGGTCACAGGGTACAAAGGGAAAGCTCCCAGTGTCTGTCAAGTGGCATCAGGCACTGGGAGTTTTTATTATCAAGCTTTGTTTTTTGTTTTTTTTTGCTGTGTATATCAAGTTTTTTTATTAGTGAGTTATTATCAATATCAATTCTCAGCTCAAAAATAAAGTTGCTTTTCACTGGGTGTGTTTCAAGCCTATTGCTGAGCTTTGGTACTTTGAAGTCCACAAATATTAATTAATGAGAAGCAAGGAAAATCAATTTAACCCACTTTATTCAAAGAACCTTTTCATGACATTATTTTGCTTCCTATGTTGACATATCTCTTACAGCACATTTCCTGCTGTAATTTGTATTGCTATAAAAAATAGTATTCAATATAGATTTCTTTTTTTTGTTTGTTTCTGTCTTTTTGTTTGTTTTTAAGACATTCAGTTTCAGTTTTATCTTCATGTCAGGTAATTTCATTTTTAGCTTCTATAATTCATCACAAATGAACTTAATTCATTTCTTCATTTGATAAGCAAACATTTCTCATTTTGATAACATGTTTGTGAGAACATTTTATCACAAGTTCAGCTAGTGTTATGCTTTAAAATAATCACAAGGATTTTTAGTGTCCTTGTTAGTGTATTGAAATTAAAATGCACTATCCCAATTTGGGGGCTTTAAGAGTTACTGCCTGTAGAAGCTGCAGTCTTTAGAGAATAAATTTTCTCCAGGCACTATATTTGCAACTCTTACTAAATTACCTGGTTGCCTGGATATCTCCTTGACCCAGTTAGAAGAAAGACTCCAATTTGCTCTTTTTCATAATCTCAAATTCAGAACCCACAAATAGAGTAATTGGTATGCAGATTCTTTGATGACTAGCTCTGTTCTTTAGAGAGCATGTTATGAATACTTTAGCCTTTTCTTTTAAAAAGGTTAGATTTATTCCTTCTTTGACTTCCTCCCACCAATAAGTAAATAAGCGAAAACAAAATTTCAATAAAATATCCAACAAATAAAATTTTATGCCTATTGCCAATATTGGTAACAAAGAATGTGGATGGTGCTTACAGAGTACAGTATGCACAGAGGGCCTCTGACAAACTACAAAAGAATTTTAGGATTTTGTTAGGGGTATCCAATCTTTTGGCTTCCCTGGGCCACATTGGAAAAAGAATTGTCTTGAGCCACACATAAAATACACTAACACTAATGATAGCTGATGAGCTTAAAAAAAAAGAGGGTCGGTACATAAATCCATAATGTTTTTGTTTTGGTTTTTTTTTTTGAAGTGAAAGGTCTCACATATTTATTACTGAACCCAAGCAACCAAAACCTTTTTTTTTTTAAACATGAATAATGGAAGCACTGTGGGTTGTACTAACTAATGCCTTCATAACAGATACAGAAAGGAATCTGTTCAAACGTCTCCAGATAGCTTGGTTTAGTAACACGATTGTGACCTTCAGACAGCATAAATATGTGTGCCATCGCATGTGTGATTTCTTTTTCTTTTCTTTTTTTTTTTTTTTTGAGGTGGAGTTTCGCTCTTGTTACCCAGGCTGGAGTGCAATGGTGCGGTCTGGGCTCACTGCAACCTCCGCCTCCTGGGTTCAGGCAATTCTCCTGCCTCAGCCTCCTGAGTAGCTGGGATTACAGGCATGTGCCACCATGCCCAGCTAATTTTTTGTATTTTTAGTAGAGACGGGGTTTCACCATGGTGATCAGGATGGTCTCGATCTTTTGACCTCGTGATCCACCCACCTCGGCCTCCCAAAGTGCTAGGATTACAGGCTTGAGCCACCGCGCCCCATTTTTTGGATTTTTAGTAGAAATGGGGTTTCACCATGTTGACCAGGATGGTCTCGATCTCTTGACCTCGTGATCCACCCGCCTCGGCCTCCCAAAGTGCTGGGATTACAGGCTTGAGCCACCGCGCCCGGCGCATGTGTGATTTCTTACAGACCAAGCTTGGTTCTTCTCCAGTGTCTCCTTTTGGAGTTGTACCTGATTTTATTACCAGTTTTCATCCAAATCCACTGGGGAATGGGACGATTTTGCTTTTGTTTCTTGGCCAGGAATCGCTTAATCCTGAAAGTCTTGTGAGAAGACATGGCTAGAAACGAAGTAAAGCACACACCACGATGGCGGAGAAAGGAAGAGAGCAATCCATAATGTTTTAAGAAAGTTCATGAATTTGTATTGGGCTGCATTCAAAGTCCTCCGGAGCTGAGGACGAGCTGGCTGTAATTACAATTGGATTACAAAAAAGTTGTTCCTTGTAATCCCAGCTACTCAGGAGGCTGAGGCAGGAGAATTTCCTGAACCCAGGAGGCGGAGGTTGTGGTGAGCCGAGATCGCACCATTGCACTCCAGCCTGGGTAACAAGAGCGAAAGAAACTGTCTCAAAAAAAAAAAAAAAAAAAAAAAAAAGGTGTTCCTTGGCCCTGTTAATCCTATTGGGCTGCATTCAAAGCCATCCTGGGCTGAGGTTTGGACAAGCTGGCTGCAATTACAATTTGATTGCAAAAAAGTTGCTCCTTGGCCCTGTTAATCCTGGGAACCAGAACTCAAATCACTTCTTTCTGCTGAATCATCAAGCCCAAGTTCACAATTGAACACTGCATCCTGAACTAAAATGTGTAAAGCTGAAAGCAAGTTTAAACAATCCCAATGATTTTTCTCTTTGTTAAATGGCAGAATCCAGCCAGTTGAATATCTGTCTTTTTGCAAAACCGGTTAACTGAATTCCAGGTATTTGTTCCAATTCAGAGTTCAATTTTCACTGCACTTTATACTGAGTGGTTCTGTCAGTGTTTCTTTTGACACAGAAGTAGGCCTGGTGAACTATCTACCATTGATACAGCTTGTTCTGTCAATGCCAAATCACCCTTGAACCTGTCAATGCAAATTAATCAACAGTATTACTTCAGTGACAGGCAATCATATGTTTAATTAGTAACTCATGCTTCCAGCATGAATACAGAGCTAGGGTTCTCTGTATAAAATATATGACAGGTGCCTAACCTGTCATAAGATGCTGATTCAGGAGATCTGGTGTAGGGCTTAAGTGACTATTTGGAAAATGCTTTCCCAGGGACTCTGATGCAATAATCTGTCACAAATACTACTGATATAAATAATACATGATGGCAGGGACTGGGTTATGTACTTTTTCCAACAAGGACAGGAGGCATTGTGTCAAGGACTACTGAAAGTGCAAAGATGATTTCATACCTTTTTTTTTTTGTTTTTTTGAGACAAGGTCTCAGTCTGTTACCCAGGCTGGAGCGCAGTGATGCAATGTCCACTCCCTGAATCAAGTGATACTGCCACCTCAGCCTCCTGAATAGTTGGGATTACAGGTGTGTCCCACAACACCCTGCTAATTTTTGTATTTTAGTAGAGATGGGGTTTCACCATGTTGACCAGGATGGTCTCAAACACCTGACTTCAAATGATCTGCCTTCCTCGGCCTCCCAAAGTGCTGAGATTACAGGCATAAGCCATTGTGCCCAGCCCATTTCACAGCTTTCTGGAATGTCAATTTTACTTGACAGGTAAGCAGTTTAAAATGTCATTATTATTTTGGGTGGTAGTTTCATAGGTATACATAACTGTCAAAACACATCTAATTAATCTTTAAGATCTGGGCATTTGTTGTTTATTATACCTCAATAAATGTCATTTTAAAATTAAAATATGGATACATTCTAGAGTAGAATGCAAAATCTGTATTTTCTTTTTGGATATACTCTGAGACTTGATAGAAATCACCCTTTTAGATGGGTCCCTGACATGGTTTGGCTGTGTCCCCACTCAAATCTCATCTTGAATTACAGCTCCTATAATCGCCACATGTTGTGAAAGGCACCTGGTGGGATGTAACTGAATCATGGGTAGAGATTTTCCCGTGCTGTTTTGTGATAGTAAGTTTCACCAGTTCTCATGTCTTTATAAATGGGAGTTCCCCTGCACACATTTTCTTGCCTGCCACCATGTAAGACTTGCCTTTGCTCCTCCTTCATCTTCCACTATGATTGTGAAGTTTCTCCAGCCACGTGGAACTATGAGTTTATTAAACCTCTTTTTCTTTATAAATTACCCAGTTTTGAGTTTCTTCATAGCAGTATAAAAATGGACTATCACAGTCCCCAGATGCAGGGAGGCATGGGCCTCGGAGACATCATAAGGCATTACGATGATTCACCTCTGCAGTGACCAGGCCTGGGGGTTTATACAGGTACACCTTAGCCAAGAAGCTCTGAAATATCCCTTTGGGAACATGGCCAGGCAGACATCAGATTGGTCTCCCACAGGGGACACCCACTCCGTGTCTGTCTAACTCTCATGTGGTCCTGTCTTTATTGTAGCTTCTGTAGTTTTCTTAGGTGCCTATTAACTGATCTGCAGTGGTTTAGGCTTGCCTCACTAAGACCAGACAAGGTTCTCAATTGGTTAAATAACCATTGGTTGCAGGGGACTTTCACTGACTTTATGTCTCTAGAAATAACTTTATTCTCTTTCCTCTTCCCCTTTCACCATTAGGCCCCTCCTTTTTTCTTTTAAATGTCTGGGAGGCGATTCAGCCCCTGGTGACTCAGTTGTAGCTTTTTCTGGAATCTTAGAAGTCAGATTCTAGGGAAGACAAGCAAGGACTCTTTGTCTGCCTAGGGTGAAAAAAAGAAAAAAAAGGAAAAAAAAAAAAAAAAGAGAGACCACTGTATATTCTGTCAGAAAGTGGTTAAGTATTGTTATGGGTCCTGCTCCTATCCTCACCTGATCTCCGACTTTTGGCATCACTGCTGGTGTTGGGAGGCTCACTACCACCAACCAGTTGATACTGACTGGAAAAGGTTTTATGATTACTATGAGCCATGGCGAATTCAAAATTCACAACCAGTTAATTTGCTGGCCCATTTGTTCATTTGTTTTGTCATTTTCCAACCTTCCCTAAGCCCTTTGACTCCAGGGTACATCTAAGGGAAGATTCTACCAAAGCAGTTTTTTTTTTTTTTTTTTTTTTTTGAGACGGAGTTTCGCTCTTGTTACCCAGGCTGGAGTGCAATGGCGCGATCTCGGCTCACCGCAACCTCCGCCTCCTGGGCTCAGGCAATTCTCCTGCCTCAGCCTCCTGAGTAGCTGGGATTACAGGCTCGTGCCACCATGCCCAGCTAATTTTTTGTATCTTTAGTAGAGACGGGGTTTCACCATGTTGACCAGGATGGTCTCAATCTCTCGACCTCGTGATCCACCCGCCTCGGCCTCCCAAAGTGCTGGGATTACAGGCTTGAGCCACCGCGCCAGGCTCCAAAGCAGTTTTTATCTCCTAAAAGCTCACCATTCACCGCTGTGGTCCCACGAGGGTGACATCGACCTGCACCCCTGGCTGCTTCCACCCATCTCCTTGCCTCGTGCCAGGGATAGGCCTATCAAGCTTGTTGCCCCCTCCTTACAAAACCTTGCTACAGAGGCATACTTAAAACTGGTGCTGGAAAGGGCAAGGCACAAGTACAACGCTTTCCAGAACTGAGAGTACCGTAAAAGCAAACAGATCCAAGTAACAACTGGTAGGTTAAAACAAACAAACAAAAAAAAAACAAAAAAAACCCAGATGGCATTGTCTGGTTCCCGGCCCTACACCCCACTCCAGTGCATGACGGCCAATGTCAATGCTGGATTTTCAGGCCAATATGGAGTAAAACTAACCCCCCAAAAAACTCCGTACCCTGTTTAAATTGGAGTGGCCATCATTTGGGGTGGGGTGGCCAGACACCAGGACATATGATCCCAAGGTAACCGAGGCTGTATAGAATGTGATAACAGGTTCCCCTGGGCACCCAGATCAGTTTCCATACATTGACCAGTGGCTAGGCTTAGTTCAACAGCCCCCTTTCATGGCTTGAACACTGCATAAACAAGCTGAGTTACAAGTTATGCTGGCAGGCCGTAAGAAAGCCCCTTCTGCGCCAGCCATACTTCCCTCCCCAGTGAAGAATCAGGAATTACCTCCACCCTACTCAAGGCCCTCTGAACCAGGGCCTCAGCACCCCGCTTCCCGGACAGCACCAGTAACCAACCCTTGTCCCTCCTGCATACCCTCAGTGGTGCTCCACACCCAGCGGCGGTCCTTCGTCTCCGAGAGGCACCCCAACAGGAGAAAACAATTGGGGTTGCCCATTCTTTGTTCACATCCCTTTCTCATCAATTGACTTATATAACTAAAAGGTGATAAAAAATTAAAGAAAGGGCCGAATCACCAGGTGCAGGAACAAGCTTTATTAAGAGCAGGAGAAGGCCGGGTGCGGTGGCTCAAGCCTGTAATCCCAGCACTTTGGGAGGCCGAGGCAGGTGGATCACGAGGTCAAGAGATGGAGACCATCCTGGTCAACATGGTGAAACCCTGTCTCTACTAAAAATACAAAAAATTAGCTGGGCATGGTGGCGCATGCCTGTAATCCCAGCTACTCAGGAGGCTGAGGCAGGAGAATTGCCTGAACCCACGAGGCGGAGGTTGCGGTGAGCCGAGATCGCGCCATTGCACTCCAGCCTGGGTAACAAGAGCAAAACTCCACCTCAAAAAAAAAAAAAAAAAGCAGGAAAAAGCTGCCGGGCTGCACCCAAAAATTGGTGCACAGCACCCATGGCGTGGAAAAAAAATTTTATGGCCTGCAAGCCGGCAGACGCATCTGGTGTGAGGGGCTGTGCAGGAGGGGAGGGGCTGGGGAACTGTTGGGTTTAATAATTCCCGTGAGGAGGTCATGCTGGGGAACTGCTGAGATGCCTGGACGGGGAGGGTTAAGAACCTGCTGAGACTGAAAGTTCCCCGGGAGGGGGTCATGCTAGGAGGCTGGGGAACTTGAGGCAGCAGTGGGGTTTTAAGATGGAGTAAGTTCTGTCAGAAGGCTTAACATCCCCTGTTCTCTGAGAAGCCCCAGGCTTTGACAGGGCTCTTAGAATCTGTACTCCAGACTCATCACCCCACCTGGGACAACTGCCAACAATTATTCCTGATTCTGTTCACCACAGAGGAAAGAGGCAGAATTAGACAGAACGCCCTGGAAGCCATCATAGGTCCAGGGGGAGGAACAGTAGAAGAGAACTGGGATCGAATTGAGAGGTTTTCTCCCTCTACCCAACCCCAA